ACTGCCTTGCTCACAGAGAACTTTCGGATGCCTATGTGTAAGTAATGTCCCGCGCCGTAGCCGCGCAGTTTGAGGCATCATGCTTCGGACCGGCGATACGGAATGCGCGCTGGTTCGAGTCTCGGGGGAGAAGAAATTTTCTCATGAGCTTTCGACCAGTGTATGGGACTGGTGCCAACCCAGCATCATGAGGAAATTGGGGAGCTACAATGAGTAGTGTAATCCGGTCAGGAAAGCTAGCAATGGCTGGGGGTTCGTCGTGCTGACCACACGTCACCCTACATCTAGCTGGATGATCGTTCACCTCTGCTTAGGCATGTGAACATGAGGCCAGCAGTCAAGCTAGTCGGCTTTGACTCTCTGGAGCTGTTACGCCACGGATTTAAATTTAATGTGTAAGTAATACATGCAAGAGTAACACAGCCTTGGATGTTACTTACTGAACACTTTTCATAAACAACACTAAAATGAATGTTGCCCTTAATACTTAATTAAATACCATGCCATGCAGATATACAGAGGAATATAGGGAGGTACAGCTCATTCTTAACTTCACCACTGGAGGTGTGTGGACAAATTCACATTCCAGCTGCTTCATCCGCAAGGAAATAAACCCAGTACCTATTGGATAGGAAGCTGGGTGGGAAACAGAGCCGTCTGGACATCTGCCATTATGGCAAAGAGAAAAATCCTGCCCTACCACCAATAAAAACCCACTCAATCAGCACATAGCCCAGTCACATTTCTATCTTCACTTCCTCATAACAGCAATACTTGCTATAACTTTACATTGACTCACTTAATGTTCTCCTCAGTTTAACATTCAAAAACGTTATTTCCCATCGAAATGTTAACTATTGACTGACATAAAAACACAAACCATAACACACTAGGAGTTTAGTTTATTATACTTGGTTCAAATTTCAGCAGAATTCTTACCTACAAGTTCCAACAGGTTTAGGCAGAACAACTCCTGCAGTGTACACAGCTTGAAATATCCCAGTAAGATTTACCCGCCGAGTAATTTCTCGAATCAATACAGGGGCTACTCTCTTTGAACGAAGCTTTTTATGCACACACAAAAAGTTGATTTCTACCATCTTCTGTGAACTAGTTAGAAACACACACATATGAAATGAAAGGTTGTTATTGAATAATGAACTGGAAAAGATTAATCATTCGCTTATCATAATATATACACAAATATATTTTTTGGGTTAATGTTGATGCAACATAAATGTAGGTATTAGTATTCACAAACTTCAAGTGTTCTACATCCAACTTCAGATGCCAAATACATTAAAACAATTCAAAAGAAATTAAAAAAGTAAGGGCAGTTTGTTTCTCTTTATTCTACAAAAGGTACACACAGGAACAAGTGTACCATCATTTTCTTATGTAACCCCTTAGCTTCCCCACATATATTGAGTCCACAATTTCCAGATGCCACCTGAAAAGAATGTTTTTGATTGCATGTAAAGCCATGTATGTACCAACTCATTCAACAATGTCTGCCTTTTGTGAAGTGGTCAGATGGTCCAAGCAGACTTCATCAACACTTTTTCTGCAACAATGGAACATTTCTACCTTCCTTTGAATAATACAGTTTTCTCCATATTGTGGTGAACATTCTTCTGTGAATCTCAGAGGGTTTTATCACCTTCTCACCACAAAAATCATATGATGGTATGCTGCTCAACAAAGGTGCAATCTGAAAGTGAAGCCAACATGTTTAAACCATGATTCCACGATCTTCATTAAAGGTAACAGCTGCCACGCCTAGACCTGGCTCAGTATATAGTACATGTGATGTCTGCAAGAGCACTGCCGGAGAAAATACCAAGGTTTTACATGCAAACTGCCCTTACTTTTCCATCATACTTTGTAAGAAATAGCATTCCGTTATACCAATGACCCAGACCTAGTAATGACACTGGTATTTTATTACTAAATTTATTTCATTGGTTAAGTTTTTACAGTGTAGCAAAATACTAGTTTCTGTGGTATTTCAGACTGTAGACTTGGGAACGTTTTCAAAAAGTATACCTCTATTCCATCTCTTGGTTTATTTAACAAAGTTGTGTAAAGTGCCTAGGTTACACTGCATATAACAGGTCAATTATGAGTGTTAAGTTCAGAAAAGTTGACACACAGCAAACTAAAATGTAACTGCTGTGATTACATACCCTATGCAACAAATTTAATATTTCATATTACATATAAATAAGTCTTCTTTACTGGTTGTACACTATGAACTTATTATTTTATACAACCAAAAATCAAAATTTATCACTAGAAATGAGGGAATAACAAGTTTAAATAAGAATCTACTTTAATTTTTACATAGTGGTTCAAATTTGACACAGACATTTAAATGTTTCTCTACTTTCCAATCAGTTGTGAACCTGTCCTAAAATTTCTGTGCTGCAGGGACAGGAAAAGTGTGCACATTCTAATGCAAAATAGGTAAGATGATTTATTAACATGCTAGGATCAAATTCTAGGTCAAATCTGAACTGCCATTGGACATAAGTTTATTTTCTTCATTGGGGGGGGGGCTGAAGAAGGCTGCTTTCTCAGTCATATTTGAGAAATAGCATTTTTATCTACAGACAAATGGAACCTGGTGGTCTTAATGAAAAACAACAGACTCTCATTCAAAAAGTCCTTGGTTCAATTTAATGTAAGATGTGTGTGCAGACTTTCTTGCTTGCAGGCTTAAGTTTTAACCTCTACGATAAACAAAACTTTGGAAAAGTGAAGTGCACCAGTTTCCACTGTGGTTTGTAGTTCACATTAAATTGAAGACCTTCTCTGATGACCATCCTTTTCATTATCACCCTATCACTGGGGGTAACACAATCTGCCCTACAGATGATCACACCTCACAAACGGATAACCTGCCTAGGTTGAGCATACGTCAAGAAACACCAACACACACCATCCCTGGCAGAATTAAAAAACCACCACCCATATACAAAAAATTACTTTATTAACAGTTGTATAACTTGGTAGCAGACGTCAGTAAGTGCAATGTTACAATGAATGTACTTTTTTAAATGTTTGCCTTCCCTGCATAGGGTGTAAAAAAGTAAAAATATTAACATTATAAGGAGACAATAATGCTGTGTTTGGAGAAATTATAAGAGCAAGTATGGTATTCAAATCTTAGAAGGCTTTTTCTTGGATAATAAATATCTTTACGTTACAAATAATATAATCCATTTGTCTGAAAACAGCAAACTGAACAATCATTACTACTCTTACCATAGACAGAGTTAACTCACTGGTTATATATCCTAAGTGTAGCAGGTATGGCACTAATAAAACCTACTAGTCGCCCACTCTTTATCACACGGACACCACAGTGCCAATCTCGACGCCATCCAGGAGGCTGGAGTGCCCTGCCAACAAGATATCAGCATTACAATGGCTTTTAAACTATTCTTATTTAATATATATATTCGTATTTAATATACTTGAAGAAAATCTAACCAAATATGAATTCAAACTTTTAGCATAAAAATACCAAATCAATACTCATGGCTACTGCACTGCCTAGCATGAGACAGACATATGCTGATAAAATACACTAACAACAGCATTAAAAGTGTTAACAAGTGCTAGGCAACAAGCACCTGACAAAGATTTATTTTACATAACTGCAAACTTAAATTTTCAATAAGTATTACCCATAGCTCAAGCTACTTTAACTCTTTCAGCAATTATATTTTCTTGCACAACTGCCAATGTTTCTTGCCTCTGTTACCAGAGAGGAGCAGTAGAGTGATAAAATACAGGGGTTCTCAACCCAGAGCCCACAGACCACATGCAGCCCTCCAACATGTTGTTGTGTGGCCCACATACAATTCCTTTACAATGTGTCAACCTGTATGACTAAAAATAGTTCACTGACAACAGGAAATACACTCTGTTACTGTCGACAGTATCTGGCAGCACCTTCTGCTGTATGGAACAGTATAGTTTGATTAAAAATGTCAAGTCAGGAACTGGGATTATGAAAAATACTTGAAATAATATACCCAATTTCCAACAACCTCAAATTGAAAGATTAATCAAGCAGAAGCAGTGTGTCAATAACTCACTAATGACTAGCATTGTCAAAGATGTTATTTAGTAATACGTGAACCTGTTAATACATTAAAAACTGTGTTGTTAACCTTCTAGTGCTGGCCTCCATGCATGGTATAGACCTCAGTTTTGTCACATGACTCCTGCCTCTACACTTCATATAGACCGAGTCTATGGGTGAAATTTGAAGTTCTCATGGCAGTGAAGACGACAAAGTTGTTCTTCTGGGCTGTGGTACCATGTGGACTCATAGGTACACAACCACATTTCAGAGTAAGACACTGTCTCCATCTTCAGCCCTGAAATTGCAGACAGAATTTTTCTCCAAATTGTGGGAATCTACCTATGAGTCCACACGGTGTCACAACCCAGAACAACGTCAGGTTTACGGGGTTTAAATGCCATCCGTCCACAGGGTAGGACACCATTTAAATGGCTGAAATCAGTGAAGGGTTGAAGAAAATTATTTTATAATACATATACTTATTTAAAAAGTATCTTAGAACATTTTTAGTATACCATCATGAAGTTTCAATAAACTGTCATTCAAAATCTTGCAGTTTACAAGTTAAATAAGGGCACAGCTGACTCTTGGCCTGGAAAAGGTTGAGAACCCCTAATCTAACACATGCCTGCACTACATGCAAATTTTTTTTTTATCAATCTAACTGGTTATCACACCATAAAGATTAAGGGTGACTGCATGTTCAAACACCTGGCCAACAAGGAGAAGAGAGCAATAAATCATACATTCCTGTTTTCAACTTCTGTTCAATTCTGGGACATTACCACTTAAGAAATTCTGGAGGATAATCAAAGCGGAACATGGAATCATCGTCTTCCACATAGTTTTCATTCAACAGCATATATAGCTCTTTCAGTACAAGAGGTTCATCAAGATTCAATGTATCCCACTGGAAACCATCAGGCAGTGAATATGGCTCTGGACGAATATCCGAAGCCCCCTTCTCAGGTTCAATTGGCTCATTGCATGTTATTTTCTCATCTGCAAGAAGAAAAATTGTTTTGTTACAGTTTTATTTCCAAACAACCAAACAAATAAGGCCACAAAAAACACATTAAGTGAAACAGAAACAACCAGAGGTTTTACAGAAACTTAATAAGAAGTCCCTTTCAATATTTTGCTGTCACACATTCTCAATGATGATACCAAGATCAGAGAAAAATACTTGGATCTAAGACGAGAAATAAAGCATAACAAGGAAATTCATAAATGTTCAGCTCATCTAGTGTGATTAGAACAGTCAAATGGCTAAAACAACAAATGCCTATAAAATTATGCCACAGAAACCTCCTGGAAAGTGGATATTTGGAAGGAAAAAAGAAAAAAAGAAAGAAAGAGGCAGTATTAAAATATATCCTGGGAACATAAGTGATAATATGAATTTGACTGACTTGGCCAGGATTGTGTACAAAGATGAGCTTTGGTATAAGCAGTGGTAAACAAAGTCTGATTCCAGCAGGCTGGGTGGTTAGACATCAAGACGAAAATCTACTCTAATAAGAATTCAATCTTGTAGCATCATAACATTACCATCACCCTCTGAAACATCCAACTACCAACCAAGATTTAGTTAATGACTGCAAATTCTAGTGCAGATTTCACCAAAGCGATCACTTTGTCACCATTATCTTCTAACACATTCTTTAGACCTCTGTCTTCCATGTACCTACCTATTCTTCAAAGTCTCTCCATGAATAATGGTTTACTAGATCTTAAAAACATAATTTCTCTTAAGAACTTCAATGAGCTTTAACTTCCTAGACAAATGTTTCTAAAGTGGTTGTTTGCAAAACTGATGTTGGTCTGCAGCCTGATTTATGTTTGTCCACACATTCCAGTTATCAAAAAATCATACACATTTACTACATCAACAAAATTTATTGTAAAATTAGCACTATTTTTAGTTTTTGTTTCCATTTAGCCCTTTAATTCACATCAAGTGGTATCCTTGTCACAACAGCACAGTGCATCCTCAGATTGAAGCAAAGAAGATGGCCTCCAATGATGGCGGAAAGCTACAAATATATTGAATACGCAGTCGCAGACAACTAACAAGAATTGGTCTTTCAACTAGAGGGTTGTGCTGGGAGTTAACAACAAAATAACCACCATGTTACAAAATGTTACACAGGGCCCCAAATTCTGCAGCCTCTTGTATACAATGTAATAAAAGTCAGGGTTCCATGAAATACAGGAATGTCTTGACTAAGTGACTAATAGCTTTCCAAGGAGTCTGCTCCATGCTATTAGTTTTCAGTGACTACATTTCCATCACAGTCACATAAGGCAAATCAATTACAATTACATTTAGAATAATTTGTTTTTACTAATAGAAAACTTTTGACATTGTCACTGACTATTAAAGCCATGACACCATACTGAAATATAAACTGATGTAATGTTAAAAAACAGATTATAACAAGCTTCTCATATTCAACTCTAATAAAATCCAAAAGATTGTATAATGTTGTAAGAGCTTTTATGACTGAAGAATGCATTCACAGCCTATTTTAAAGTGTTATCCTAGTACCTATTTGGAAAACTATAAAAACTTCCATAGATATGCTGGTCTCACATTCAATAAATGAAGACAGTATCTCCCAAATGCAAGGCAAGTTATCCACTGTCACGGACCCAGATATTGCAAAAAAATATTTCTAACAATGCAAACAGAATAAATAATAACAAATACAATAGTTTTTTATTATGCATATATTAATAGTAAGGTCACTTGATTCTATACGACGTGCGATCGGAAAGTTTCCAGACTGCGCCTATAAAAACCCGTACACTTATCTCAGGTATTAAATTCATCCATCACCCTCGAAGTAGTTCCCCTGGGAGTGAACACAACGATCCCAGCGCTGCTGCCAAGCCTGGAAGCATCCCTGGAAATCTTTCTTTGTCAGCCTGTCAAGCACCATCTGCGATTCTGCCTGAATCTCTTCTATACGAGGTGCGATCGGAAGGTTTCCAGACTGCGCGTATAAAAACCCGTGCACTTATCTCAGGTATTAAATTCATCCATCACCCTCGAAGTAGTTCCCCTGGGAGTGAACACAACGATCCCAGCGCCGCTGCCAAGCCTGGAAGCATCCCTGGAAATCTTTCTTTGTCAGCCTGTCAAGCACCATCTGCGATTCTGCCTGAATCTCTTCTATCGTCTCAAATCTCCTTCCCTTTAGCTGAATTTTCATCTTTGGGAAGAGGAAGAAGTCACACGGAGCTTAGGAAGGAAGTTGGGGTCGGTTCTTGCAAGATCTTTGAGTTCCTGACAAACGAGAAGTCGATTCTGCTTCTGGTCCTCAGACAGGAGCCTTGGTTTCGCATGTGGAGTTCTTCCTTTAGAATCAGCTGACAGGTCCCATAGCCTATCCCAGCAATGTCGCACAAGTCGTTGATGGTACGACGTCGATCTTCGTGAATGGCCTGCCGACTCTTCGTAACATTTTCGGGCGTTGTGCTCGAAGATGGTCGTCCAGAACGCTCGTCATCATCGACAGAGGTTCGGCCATTTTTAAAACGTGAATGCCACACAAACGTTTGTGCACGACCCATTGCGGACTCCCCAAATGCTTGCTTTAGCATTTCATAGGTTTCCGTAGCCGTTTTGGCGAGTCTTTGGCAAAATTTGATGCACACTCTTTGTTCATGAAAATCCGCCATTCCGAAATCGCAGGAGGGTCGGTGTAATGCACTACCAAAACCCCCGTAACTAAGAAACAAATGCTAATTCGATGATGCCGGCTGGCACACTTATTCACTATGAATGTAGGCCGCACCCCCTAGCGGCAGAAGCTCGTACTACATCTGGTTCGCCCTCTATTGACACAGTCTTGAAACTTTCCGATCGCACCTCGTAGTATCAGAAAAACCAGTATGGTCAGTATAGCAAAAAATCTGATTTTATACCAAATCTTAGCAATGACACAATCTTGAGCCAATTTCAGCTACCTTCCATCCTCAAAAGCTTGATCTCAAGATCCATCTTAATGTTATCCTCTCAACATTTTCAATCTTCCAAATGGGTGTTTCCTAAGAGGTTTCTCCATCAAAATTCTGTGTGCAATTACCTCCCCAAACTTAACCCACATCCCTAGCCTCTCAAAGGCATAGGGCCTACAACAACTGAAGGGCCTATGAAAAAAAATTAACTTTTTCTTTTCTCTTTTCCCCTTGTAAGGTAAAACTTGTAAAAAACACACCATAATACAACATATATCATTTTGCTATCCAAAAAACTTATTCAAGACAATTTTAAACACCACAGAAATCAACATACACATAAAAATGCATCCACCAAAGGGCCTTTGAAACATAAGTACCTATAGTCTACAAGGACCTTAACCTAGCCCTGGCAAGAAAAAATATCAAGGAGAACTTGTCAGAAAGCTGTGTTACTACCCACTCAGCTGATAAATATAATGCTCAAAAAATTGTGAATGCAATCTCATCCCCAGGACACCTATCATTATTCACAACTTCTCATGTAACGAATTAGACATTTTTGATAAACATCTAAAATGTTTATCAAAAATTGTTTCACAAACACAATGCTGCAATGACAATCTCAAAAAGAAACATATAAAATAAATGGCAATGTCACTCACCCATCTTAGGTACAGGTTGAGTATTCCAAAACTGATACTGTTTTTGAAGAGCCTCTTCTGTTGTCTTGGCTGGTTTCTGTTGGAATGACAAAACCTCCACTGCTTTCCGGATCTCCTGAAGTGTTTTGCACACATGATAAAGTTTCAGATTTAGTTGACATTATATTAACATAGCATATCATATTCCCACTTATTAGGTATATGATTGTGATGACATAATCTCAAATTTATTCTGTTACAGTTCACAAACACATTTATTAGAAATAAATGATTTAATTACTGTGACAACCTTCAAACAAACAAATCCACCAGGTTCATTATCCATGCACAGATCAATGATTCACTCATAAACAATAGTCACTTTCTCCAACATAGGGGTTAAAATTTATAATCAGTAATAACAATAGTCACCCCCAGTGACAATGAAAAGCTATTGGTGTTGGTATTTAAACAGTACATTGTTTTGCCTGAAGTTAATATTTATATTTTCAGTGCACTGCAATACATCCAAAAGGACAAGAGTGCTATTGTAAAAATCCTGTCTCAGGCACAATATATATTAGTGCTTAAAATTTACTATATTTTAAAAAATATTAATATAAATTTTGCACTAAACCAAGAATAAAAGTAAATCTTAGCTTTTCAATATGAGTTCAATGGCCACATAGATATATCAAACCTGAAGATGATCACATATGGTTAAACTATATAGTTCAATAAATACTTAGAAAACTGTAAACAGTATGTGTGTAAGTGTCAGTTCAAACAAACATCATGTTTATAGTAACATGAAATTATTGCCCAGTAACTCTGCACTTCTGAATCACTCTTTACAACAGTGCTCAACACTTTTCACCCCTAAGTATTCAACAAACTGTTATAATCTCCTTCATCTCCTTGCTTCATTAATTCTCGAAACAGAATGTTATATAAATAAACACTAGTTTATATGTCACTAACTTGGAGTGATATGTTGCATCCCGCTTGAATTTCTGATTCATCCAACATCGAATCCAACATCTTATCACCTCCACCGCCTCCTTTCTTCCGACGATTTCTCTTCTTTGAACTGTAAAAACAAAAGATACAAAATTCTGGGCACATAATTGTTGTATTATTTAATATTGTTGGATATGACTTGTGTGCAGTTATAAAAGAAACGAAGCGAACCGGCCATACTATAACATTCCTCTGGAAGTGGTAACAAAAGGTAAAAATAATTATGATTTAAAATAACCACTAATCTATGAACAGTAATTTTTTTATATTATCACCGTTCATGGTCATCAACGTGAGATAACATCGCTAACATTAATCCTTATGCACTCTACTTTGGACATAATGCCGGAAAGACACCAACTTAACTACTGCCGTTCCATCAGCCTGTATCAAATACATAATTACAGTGAATTATTATGTAATAAATATAATCAGTTTACATATACCTCTTCGATTTTGTTTCTTTCTCATTAGCTTCCCCTTTACGAGATTCATTTTCATTCACTTCACCCTTATCGTCCATTTTTACTAACCGACTAGGAGATCGCAACCGGAAGGCTCTACGACGATGTACTTTTTCACCCTGAGATCCGACTATGTAACCGTATTCTCATTCTAAAAAATGTATTGAAATTGTTCGTAATATTGAGCGCTTTTGTGAGTTTGTTATATCCAAGTAAAATAAACCAAGTTAACGTTAGATTTGATCTCGTTATTTTCCACAGGTATTACGTTACTTTCTCCTGTTAGTGATATATCTTGACAGTCTTTGAACACTGCACGTTATATGGTAGAAATGATACAGCCATAGTATAAGATTGATGATGGAAGTACAACAAAGTTTACACTCAATGCCACGCATGCGACCGTAGACCGTTTCAGTACCCTGTCCATGACATCATCAAATAGTTAATACAACAGTCTCAAGAGGCGTTGCAATCAATATGCTTCCATGACGTCAGAAGCAGACTAAAATGTCATTGCAGTAGTGTAACAATATTGTTTCTTTCTGAGAATAACTTTGCATTAAATGTTCCTTTTTCGTTTGTGAAAATATTGTCGTTTGTGATAATTTGTTTCCCAGTAACTGAATATCAGCCAACTATTAGCAATGGCAAACAAATCGCCAATTGACGAAAGAAGCTATATTTTGGAAGGACAGAAAGAGAATCAACAGGTAAATACAAAATAATACATTTTCCTCATGAATGTGGTCAAAATCCCACTTTTTTAATGTTTGAGATCAATAATGAAAAGCTCTATGCATGCTAAATCTCATCATACAACCAAATTACTATAGCAAATTATCACTATTTTCATCTGTAATGATTCAACGTTAGATGTCTACAACATGTTTTATTGCCGATGCCTTTAATGATTTCAAACAACACTATACATGTGTGACAATCCTTTAATATTAAATAGGCGCGTTTGAAAACTGCCGTGTTTAAAATATGCCTGCTTAGTACTACATAGGGAGGCCAAAGCCCACCTCGGGCGTAGCTCCGAGGAAGAAGAAGAACAACAACAATTACGTCATTGTTTCTAAACGTTAGGTTCACTCTTACTTTATTTTTACCGTCAAAGGTACTAGTTACAATTTTCAATTTTTCCATAAATATTTAATTAGATTTCATGATTAAAGTATTCTTAAAATTATAGCAATGCTTAGGATGGATGAATCTACGAGAACAAAATTTTATGATGTAGAAAGAAATGATCGCAGCCTAACTTATGGTACTATCCCAACATATGTCTGGAGGGAACCAGAAAAACCACGAGAAATCTCAGTCAGGATAACCAATCTTCGTGCAGATATTTGAACCCGGGATCTCCTGAAGTCGAAACAGGAGTTTCAACAACTCGGCCTCTACTCTTCTCGTTTCCTCACCCTTACAAAATTATTAATTATATTCACATGTACAAGCATCTTTCTACCATAGATAAGTTTGCAGAACAATACCGTTCTAAGAAATATGCTTGTTTGAGCAGAAAATTGTACATCAGTTCGGTGCTCAACAATTAAACATTGCAGGAAATGTGAACATTTAAGAAGTGATATAAAATTCAGTTTCCAGAAGAATATATTAATGGAAGCAGGGAAACGTAAAGGGCAGACACGTGCATTGTATTATTTTAGTTTATAGTTCAAATAATTCGATATCGCAGACAAGTAGGTGTTCAGAAACAATATTCGTGGATAAGGAACTTCAGATCACACATTTTGACTCATGCCTCAAATTTTAAAATAAGCGCCAATATGAATCGAACGTCGCGGTTGAGTGGTTAGCCCTTCTACTTCGCATTCCCGAAGTCCCGGATTTAAAATCTTGGCTCTGCATCCGACGATCATAACATGTTTCGTGGTTTTTCCAGTCCCTCCTGGCAAGTGCTGCCTTTCACACCCTTTTCTGTTCACCATCCATAGTCAAACTACCATTTAATGATACATAACCAATAAAAATAATCTTGAGTTGTGATGCCGTGCAGTCTTGCAGATGGTTAGCAACTCTTCCGAGAAACGTATCGCCTCCATCTTCATAGTTTTAGCAGTTGAGGTCGTTAGTGGCGTGAAAGCCTCAAATCCCACTTCTCAAATTTCCTTAATATTTTTAAATTTTAAATGAAATTCTATTTGCAAGATAGCACTGCTAGTCATAAGTCTCGTGAGTACGTGTCTTAGGTAGGAGTATGTTAAGTTGAACTCTGTGGATGTGGACCATGCGTTTGAAGAGATGAACAGACCTGCATGTGTATGGAAAATAAATATTAAAAATGGAGTCGGCTAAATATGTGAGACAGACTCATCTGCATAAGGACAGGGTTCAGAGGAGAGCTTTTGTCATCATGGTAATGAACCATCAGGTATCACAACCATGAAATATTCCATTCGCTGACTGCTAGATGAAGCATGTGCATTGTGAAATTGCGCCGTACAGGTTGTGCAAGATTCAAATACTTGTACAAGAAAGCCGAGGATTCCCTCCCACGCGTAGTTGTGCAACTGGCAGGCCCTATGCCAAGTAGTTTCCCCACCCAGTCACGTCCGCAGTAACGTGCGTGGGCCTTCGAGTAAAATGGCCGTTACTGTACGATTTAAATCACAAATAGAATGTGCCGACACATTTTTGTAAAACTCCCCAATATCAAAGTTAACCGAAATCTGTTCGGTGGTTCTCTCGAGTTCTTGTAACACACGGTACAAAATTTAATAATAATAACGAGCAAAGTAAGTGCTAACTGGACGACTGGGGTTCGATCCCCGGCAGGGGCAGACTTTTTCCTCCAGCCTCTGCGTTCAGACCGGCTCTGGGGACCACCCAGCCTCCTGTCCAGCGCGGCTGGGGCGTGAAGCTGACAACTCACCCCTATCTAGTGCCGATGTTAAGAATGAGTCTGAGCTATAGCACCTCTCCCCTCAAACGTCTACATGGGGCATAGCGGAACAGTTTTAATAATAAACAATGCAACGTTATGCATATTGTGCAAACTATATGCACTTAAAAACTGTAGGTACGTAAGAGGCCGTGGTTTATGGCCAATAATGCAAACCATAAGGCCGATAATCCCATAAGAGCTTTACTACAACGGTTATGGAGAAGAGTCCTTCTTGATAAGCTAATCGTCGCTCAGCTAAATTCCTCACCTTCTGTGAAACACGAAGTTTCATTGCTGTGTTCACAAGAACCCGCAACCGAGACCCTGCGTAAATTTCGTAACACGCTGCTCTCTACGGCAACAGCCCTCCCAACCCCAAACTTGAAGGACCACCCTTTGTTGGGGTGTCTGTTTATTCAATATACTTGTAGCTACCCTCCATACTTGGAGTCCCGGGCGTGCCGCCACGTCATGCCACAGTAACAATGAGTGTCATTCAAGGAAAGAGACCACTTGGGAGATCTATTCGTAGCAGATTATAATATTAAAATGGACTGAATTTAACTGACCCAGGTTAAGGTCAAACTACGGACTTAATTTAACACAAAAAGGAACCTTCGGGTTCCCTGAAATGGGGACTTTCTTCATCGGCTAAGTAACTGTAAAGTTTTCAAGAAAGACGTTGCACCACGAGTGAGTTTGTTAGTTACTTCGTCAGGTATGTAGATATTTAAATACTGAAATTTTACAGACTTTCTTGCATATATTCATTATGTGAGTGTGCATATTGAAGTCTAGTAAGTCAAATTAACTTCCTAGAGTGCAATTCTTCCTAAGAAGAGATGAGCTTATATGGAACCAGAAATGTCATTAACAAGTTCACAAGAGCTCGCCACTGGATTCTATCTGAGCTGAACAAATCCAGTCTACACCATTAAATCTTGTTTATTTACAATCAATTTTAATGCTGTCCTTCCATCTGCATCATTCAAATCCAGGATTCCACCATCTGTCATTGGCAGAAACTAGTCAGAGCTGGTTTGAGCATGTCTCTTACGGACTCACCTAAGTGGATCAGAGACCATGTTTTGAGGTAGGCAACAGGTATGACAACTCGTTCCAGACAGAACGGATATCATCCATCCTTGACCAACCGCTGCTACAGTAATATTAAGTATGATGGGTGCTACAGTCCAATATTGATGCAAAAAACTCAGATTAAAACAAGCAAAACTGGTTAAAACTCTGTAAACACATAATAGAATTCCAAGCACTTAACTAAATGGTCAATGGATATAGTCTGGGCTGTAGTTAAGCCAGGGTGGCACCCTTATACTTTTTTAGTGTTGCGGCTCCACCGTGGTACATCTTAAAAAACACATAAGCAGAGTTTCGTAAGAGCATGGGGAATAAAAGCTTCTAATAAAACATATATACCAATATTTAATGAGCAGAACAGCTAAAGAGAATTACAAATTCTGAAGTAGTAATGCTTAGCCTAATTCCCTTATTTCATAAAAAAAGATTAGGGCTGTGGTATCATTACGTCCACACATCAGCAACCCTGCAATAACATTTGAATCAAGTGATGAATTTTTATGAACCTTTGAAAAGCTTAGAGTGTGAAATTTTGTTTTTGTTAAAATTATAATTTGGTGGTAATATGAAACTGTGTATGATGGACTCTGTATTAGTGGAAATTATCAACTGAAAAATAGGGACTGGTGGCAGGCTGTTATGGACACAGTAATGAACTTTTAGGTTCCAAAAAAGGCAGGGAATTCATTGACTACCTAAGCATACTATTAACTTTTTAAGGACTCTGCTCCATGGAGTTTAATATGCCACAAAATTATTGTGCAGTTGTATTCGGAACTTCTGCTAGCCTGCCGCAAGCATTTGAAGACAATTAAGATTGTAAGTAGTTGACAGAACGTAGTATTCATCATATGTTTACAGCCTCCAATGTAATGATATCACTGTCAAGTATATTTAGGGACAGACTTAAAGAAGATTTCAGGTGACTTTTATGATATCATGTGTTTTCTATAGAATTAAATAACAATAGCAGATACAAAATATTAAGTGGATAAATATCTGTGACAACTACATTTCACTCACTAATAATTCCAGAAACCTTTAATTATTCTGGTAAACTCACAGAGTAAAGTGTCTTGGAATTTGGATCAATAAAACTGGTATGTGGCTGGCTCATACATTTCTATAGGTCACGTTATTGGACTGTCCCTGCTCTATTCACTGAAGTAAATGTAGGAATTCAAGCAGTTTTGTTCATGTCTATTCCAGACCACGGAAGATTCTTTTATTAGATCAGTGGTTGGTGGGAACCTTTTCATTATTGCAGGCCACACTGGGTATTCAGATCTTTGTCAGAGGCCACAGAACAAATTAACAATGTTGATGACAGTAAATGAAACTGTATTTCTTTTAGAGTATAGCTGGTATTCACTTAAAAATTGATAACATCTGTATTTCTCCATACATTTGATTTAATAACAACCTCTAAACCATCTCCTAACATACTAATTTTTAGAAAAGAAAAGAATATACTTTACTTAACTTAACAAAATAAATTTCCTGCATTGGCTAATTTCAAAATCATGTGCTGGGCCACATAAAAGGTTGTGAGGACCACATTGCAGACCCTTGTATTAAATCAATAATAAAGTCTGTTTCTTTGCCAACAGGGTGAAAGCATTTGCTCTGATGACGGCCAATCTGTGGATGATACAAAGCAACTCTTTCTGGTAAATACATTTTATTTTGAATGTAAAATTTATAATCACAGCACTAACACAGTATGATAGCAACCTCAATTTGTAAGAAGATATTTACATTTATTAATTAACAAATTTTGCAAGTATGATGACTTTAAATTATAAATTTCAGAGTAACTTTAATGTTTCCACCCATCAGAAATATAGTTCCAGTTATCTACACAGCCATTATATACTCTTGGTTAAATTGTCATACTTATAAATAATTTCAGAAAATGTCTACTATACAGTTGTCAAAATCATCTCACTTCAGGTGAGTAGGGTTATGGATTCTTGACATACCAATAGCTACTTCTGGATTCATGGTGCCACCAGACATGTAGTGCCAGTGTTATGAAATTCCTGGTACAAACCAAAAGCCATGGATATGGTTTAGATTAAATGTGTTATATTTGCATTACTGTAATTATTTACATTAAATTTCTTAACACAACTTTTTCCTTGAAACAGCGGAAAGTATGTACCCCAGTATTTCTTCTCTAATTTTTCACATTTTCTACTCTGGACTGTCTGCCAAATGAAATCTTTAGAAGTAGAATTTGGTCTCTGCATCATATCCTTACTCTTGAACCAAAATTGGTGAACAATTTTAACTACTGATCATTGATGACAAACAGACATAATTCAAATCACTTCTGCTTCTTTCCCATCAAAGCTCTGGAATTATAACAGGCATACATTGTTAGTAAGCCTAACAAATTATATACCATAAAATGCCTAAAATGTAAAGAATTCTCAACTGAATGTGAGGAAAAGACTAGATTTATCATATGTAAATGGAAAAAGAAAATCCATAAAATCCTTAGGCAAGACAACCGGCAGGTTACTGCTGCTTGTATGTCAAGGATGTAACTTACAGGTCTAGCACAAATATAAGGGAGCGTTACACACACCAAAACATGAAGAAAGATCAAATTAACATGGATCCAGAAAAGCATCCTTTCCTAGTTACAGCCCTAATTTCCTTTCCAAAACTCCTGATGTGGTGTGACACTTTTGTTATGTCCCTTCCACACACATAGCATAAATTTAAAAGCAATTTCTCATCAGAATGTCCTCTGTGAGCTTCTGTCATTCTTACTGGGTTGCAATTTGCACTTCACCATTTCCAAAGGAATCATGTTCTGTGAAAATTTAATTGAAGAAGGTATTTCTTGTTTAATGTTCTCTTTATGTACAGTCTGAAGATGGAAAACCACAAAGCAGCCTGCCATTGGCAAGTTTTAACTACATTAATTCCATTATTGGGAGTGGAGTTATTGGTAAGTTCAGCAAATTACCATTAGTATCAATATCATAAGGAAACGAATATCAGCAATCGGGAGGAATAAATCCGTCGGATCAGATGGCATTCCCGGGGAAATTTTAAAGTTAGGTGGGGAAGCAATGATTCCATACCTTGCGAGACTGCTGGAGGTAACGATGAACAACAATTCTATCCCTGGGGACTGGAAGAAGGCTATAGTGGTTCCTATTTATAAAGGGGGAGATCAATCGGTAGTTGGGAACTATAGACCGGTCAGTTTAACCTCAGTGGTTTGCAAGCAAATGGAGCATGTTATAGCAGGTTATCTAAGGCAAGTCTGGGAAAGGAGTGAGTGGTTATATGAAGGTCAACATGGGTTTAGACCAGGGTACTCATGCGAAAGTCAAGTAGTCACGGTTTGTCAGGATGTTGCTGATTCATTAGACGAGGGAATCAGGATTGATGCGGTTATAATAGATTTCTCAAAGGCATTCGATTTAGTCCCACACGATAGGCTGATTACAAAAATTGCTGCAACCGGTGTGGATTTGAGGAATTTCTCTTAGGACGTTCGCAAAGAGTAAGAGTGGACGGGCAACTATCTCATGAAGTCAGGGTAACGTCAGGAGTGCTGCAAGGGAGCGTATTAGGTCCCTTACTATTCCTAGCTTATGTTAATGATATTTGGAAAAACATTGATTCAAATATACGGCTTTTCGCTGATGATTGTATAATATACAGGAAAATAATGGATAGTAGTGACATTGATAAGTTACAGACAGATATGAATAGATTATGGGAATGGGCGGTAGAAAATGAAATGAAGATAAATCCAGGTAAAAGTAAAACAGTCAGCTTCAATAGAGCTAGGGTGAAGGATAGGCTGAGGTAATTTTTTGGGAATCAATTAATTCCAGAGGCAAATAGCTTTAAGTACTTAGGAATACTTATTCGCAGTGATCTGAGCTGGGCAGATCATGTAAACTATACACTAATTAAAGCATGGAAGGCTCTCCATTTCATAATGCGTATACTAAAAAGGGAAATAACAATACGAAACGTTTAGCTTATACGTCGCTAGTGAGACCGATACTTGAATATGGAGCTGTGTGTTGGGACCCTTACAGAGAAGGGCAGGTAAGAGCCCTAAATTGGGTGCAGAAGAGAGCAAATTTGCAAAATACACTAACGAATCTGGTTGGGAAACATTGGCACAGCGTAGATTGATAGCCCGAATGTGCGCCCTTTTCAAAGCATACACGGGGGGCCGGGCATGGAAAACGATAGAGGATAGATTACTAAAGCCATGCTACCTGGGCAGGGACGATCATACTCGGAAAATTAGGACTAGGAAACAAAGAACGGATGTAGGCAAATATTCCTTTGTAAATA